CTGCCATATTCTATTCAGGAATATACTGTTTCATTAAAAGTAAAATACATTATTGTTCTAGATTTTGCAGCTGCAAATATTGCCTTTAATTTAAGATCAAGGATTGAAAATCCATGATCAAGGGGGAACTTATCATTGATTTCAGTGGAACTGGGATTTCACTCCAGATGTTATTGACAAGGATGCTTCAGTCATGAAGGATGCTTTCAGCAAAGAAATTCAAATCTGGGGCATGTGAATAACTAGCTATTTGACCAAATTGCTGAGCAAGAGACTGGCTTTCAGCACATGGAAACTAATTCAATCAGATATACATACTAAACCAACATCCATTAGGCAAGGTCCTTTATGTATGTCAAAGACGTATACAGAACTAGAGACTCCTGTTCCTGCTTTCACTCACCTAATATGACTACAAGGGAAACAACAGGGTCATGCAAGTTACCCTTGGTTGCCACATCAGGGCTGGACTGAGGTAACAGCTTTGTTTAGTACTCACGTCTGCTGCGCACGCTCACAGAGAAGGGCAGAGACACGGACTGCGGTCGACTACTTTTAGATATGGAAACTTTTCAAAGATAATTTTGTTCCATTACATTGTTCCTTGAGCCTTTTTTCCTCAATAATGCAGCATGACATTGCCATCAACTGTTAGTACTGTGTCAAGAAATGCCCTTTGGGAATGCAATGCCTCATCTCTATTCTTCCTTGCTTTAACTCCTATGTATCCCAGAGAGTCATTATGGTGATTCTTTCCCACAGTTCCTCTAGTGACTAGATCTGTAAGGAACATATAAAGAAGCTTGAAGCACTACATTTCATCTGGGAAAAATCTGGCATTGGCTGTGTACTTCATTTTGCAACTTTAACATAAAAATCTAAATGCATACAAGCAAACTGTTTTTTCTAGTGAAAAAAAAAAAATTAAAACTCATCACATGTAACTGACTTTAAATCTGTACAACAGGACCAGATTCTTGGGAGAAAAAAGATGACTGCTCCTTGAGTTCATGCAGTAATTAGCATCAGGAGCAGATGCTCTTGAAGGCAACCAGTCAGTAATTTGCTGGTACATTTCGCAGCCACTTGCTTATACCAGAAGATATTTGAGCTTCAGGCATCCTGGGTACTGCAGAAGACTGTGAACAAATACATTTTTCAGAATCTGGTTCCTCTATTTCTTCCCCTTCTGGCTCCATGAATGCTCTCCATCTGCCTTCAACTCTTTACACCTTTGTACTGAAGTCAGATTTTTTTTCTGCTGCTTTCTATGCTACTGCAGCAATATAAGCAGGGCACTGAGAACAAAGGAGAGCCTGTCTCTCCTCCATTTAAGTAACTAGAGTGAACTAAAAGAGGCCTTCCTGGTTTCCAGTCCTGGAAAGGTCAGTGCTGATCTGAATGTGGTGGCAATACCTGCATAGTCATCCCCATCACCACAGAAGGGCACTGGGGCGGAACAAGCAATGAAAATGGTACAGGTTCTTCCAAGACATTATCTCGGAGCCCCGTCGACAGACCGCTCAGTTTATGATAGTTCAGTCCAATGACAGCACATCAATAGGAACACTAAAAAACCTACTTCTGATGCCTGCTGGGAATCACCCTTTCCCCCATCTATCAGCAAGTCCCTATTCCACTGTACAAAGGAACCAGGGAGGTTCTCAAATAAATGGCTGTGAAATTTCAAGGCAGAAAGAATGAAGATTTTTTCCTTAATCCTCCTCTTCCAGATGACCAAATGGCTTAAAGCAGAGTTCCCTGACTTTTTTCCAGGCACTTACTGACACATAGATGTTTCAGCTGTAAGGTATCTAAACTGACAAAGTTTTTAGTAACTCGAAAAGGCTCTTACAGAAGAAAGTTTTGGCAGCTACCAGCTCTGCTTACAAATCTAGATATAGAGGAAATACACGAAAGTATTGAGAATAACATCTCAGCAGCATGGCTACAGGACAATTCAGTCTGATAGTAACAGTCAAGCCATAACCAAGCAGACAGTATATACAACAGCTCGGATGAACTCCAGCAAAACCTTTATGCCCTACCATATCATCACTCATTTTCTTTTTGCTAGATGTGTCAGAGAAAAATAATATCGGAGGCATTTGGAATTCAAGACTAGAAGCCTCAGAGTTAGCTTTTGAACTTCAAAGGTGTGTGATAAATTTATCAGATGCCTCTGCAATTTTTAAAAAAGATGGATATGCCTTTTGTGCATATGTGCAGGAAAGATTCCTCTTGCCCCCCATATATAAGCTTTCTCTCCTTCTAATATGCTATTGGACACTGGCATGAAATACTTCAGTTGGTTAACAAGAAACAGAAATTCCACTCCAAAATTTAGAGACTGAAGAAAAAGCAGCATTTCATAACGGCAAGTGAAATTCTCACTTTGCCTTCATCTATTCTCAAAGTCAACAGTTGTGATTGTGTCACCAAATGGAGATGGCTAAATCAAACAGAACAGGTAGCAAATACAACTGTTTGTTATTTAGCCAGTTGACCATTCAGGCAGCATTCAACTTACCAGTAATTCTTCCTATTCTGTCTTCTACACTGGCGAACATCTCACATCATCAGAAAGGGAGGAACTGTATAAACAGGGGCAGCTTTTATCCTGCTACATTTTGTTTCTAAGTTTCAGGACTCCAATGCAAAAAATTGCTGTTCACTTACATCACAGCTGGAAAGCATAAACAAGCTTCCAAGCAAAAATATTTTGCAGGAATTTATCTATTACTCCTTTTAATTGAAAATTTTTAACCAGTGTAGCACAACGTGATATACTGTAGAGCTCCTAATAAGTATCAACAAAATTGCTTTGCTACAGTAATACAAAAGCAAATAGGATTCAAGAGAATTAATCTAATTTTTATCTAATTCTAGTAATTTGATTTTATCAGACCTTAGCTATAGCTGTGGAAATCATAGTTGTAGTGCTAAAATATTCTACTTCACAAGCCAGCAGAAATCCAAGTACATTTCCATGGTATTTTTCATCAGATGATTGTGAATATCCTGAAAAAAAAATTTAATGTAACCTGGTCAAACCACTACTTTATAGTTGAAACAAGATGATCTTTAAGGACACTTCCAACTGTTATCATTCTATGATTCTATTCACAGAGTTATAACAGGTCATATCAGATCCAGTCAAAGAATATACATTTTATTTCTAGCCTCTGTAGTACCACATAGCAGTATCTATCTAATTAAAAAATGTATTTATATGTATTTAATAAATTAATAATGTCATAGTTCTTTTGCACCTTCATGGTGGATCATAAAAGCATTCTTCTCCTAGAACAGTATTTTGAAACTAAGCATCGACAATTAGGTTATCTGCTGCATTTAAGTCTAGAAGGCAGCAGCAACCTTGCATTTTGCAAGTGTATCATTCGTTTTTATTTTTCCTTTGCAATACCAGAAAGAGCTCTGATATTCTGAAATATATCTGATATTCTGAAATACGCCAGACAGTACCCATCACACACAACACACTACCTCTAGAGAAAGTGTTGTCAATTAGAAACACATTCCAATTGTCATAGCTAAGAAATTTCTTAGACTAAAGGGATTGTCAATGATTTCACAGTAGTACAAAAGACAGTTACTGTAACACAGAAAAATTAGATTGACAATTAGGGTGTCACATAGTAAATGAAAATATTTCACTGTCCACTTGAAAAAATAAGAAACATCATGCAAGGGCTACAGAGAAACAAAGATCTGTGTACCTCAGCATATGAAGAACTGGGATTATCATGACAAATTCTTTGGGTCCATACATTTGGGTTTTTTGCAAGCAGAACCCTAGAAACAGCAGAGTTCAGATTTAAACTGGATTTGATAAAGCTATTTTCTGGTTTCACATACCCAAATGTTCAGACAAATGCAGACTTTCCACTTTCTGTGCAACATCCAAAAAGATCAAGATCTCAAAGACAGGAAGGAAATAGAAAGACAAGAAATTAAAGCACAATATTTATCAAGTTTGCATTTTAATACCAAGCCATGTGAGTGTCTGTGTGTATATTCTGCTGTGTTCAGGAAACTAAATACATACTGCATACAGTGAAGTTTCTTGTCATTTTATACCTTGTCTGGGTATTTTTTATATCTATACAGGTATAAAATTATGGGATTGAAAATCACATCAAGAGACAAAATGCTGCAAGTGAAAGGACAGTATTTATTTGTTCATTTATTTGAAAATGTTATTACATTGATAGAATAGCTTTAAAAGGAAGACCATAATATATTCATTCAAAACTAGGCTGTTTAGTATATATATTTAAACTCTTAATTTTTCATACACAGAAAGAAAATTATACTTTACAAATAGTTTTTAATAGATCTTATGAAAAACATGATCAAAAATAATTGCCAAAATCTGCCTCTTTAAATATACAAAAGACCCTTGTTGCGTTGAAGATCTTTCTCAAAAGCCAAAAATATCGAAGTCAACAGTTGAGTCCACATCAACCCCCACTGAAAGTAGTAGTTACATAAAAATGTAAAGCACTGTACAAAGTACAGCTTTTGTTTGTCTTAATACTGTACACATTTTTATTTGTTTTAAAAATATTTTCTAAAAACTGCTATTATTGAACTTAACATCCTTTCCTGTCTGCAGAAAAAAATGAGCCACTGAAATTATCTCTGTTTACTAAAATGTCTCCTCTTCTGAAGTTAAATCTTCTCTCACAATTCAAAGGGAATTTTACCACTTCTTTCAATGTGAGCAGGACTGAAAGCTTACCTCAGCATATCACTGTGAAATCCCTCTTACTTGGTTTTCTCCTTAGTTTCATAATGCAACGCATTACAAAATCTTCAACACATTAACTGAAGAAATCAGAACTCAAGTACTTCAGCTTACGACGCCAATGTATGAATTAGTTAATTGCAAAACTGAGTGCTGAATTAAACCAAAACCAACTGCAAATAATGCTGCATGCTTTTTAATGAGTATCCTTATCTCTGCCTTTCTTCCTTTATAGCCCCTTCTGGCATTTCTTCTGGAATGAGCTTTTCAAGAAGGTGCGGTAACCTGGATCATCCACATATTCATTCTTAAAGCGGGAACTCAATACTCTCTGCCTCTTCTTCTCTCCCAAGATAATATCTGCTCCACAAAACGTGTCTTCGAATCTCATGTGAGAGGCTGTAGACTATAACCAGACACTAATTACACATACAGCTTCCTATGGGCCATCATATTCTGACATATTTTAGACAAGTTACATGGAAATACAGACAACTTTCACTACGTCATATGAAGCTAGCTACATTACTGATTTTGCATTTACAACTGTTTTCAGGAAAATGTCTAAATATTAAATATATATTTTAAAAGTGTATTTAAAATATAATTGTTACTTTTCTGTATTTTGCATGTACTACTTATCATTTAATTTTCTAGGTCTGTCATGTTTCTTAGAAACATGCGACTAACATCAGTTGTTAGTTTTTATTTTATCCAGAGGTCACACAATCACTCTAACTCAAGGTGAAAAATAGCAACATAGAAGTGATGCAATTCTTGGGGAGGTTTGATCCCAGCCATAGCAATTATTCTCCACCACTTCGTGTTATTCAGAAAAGGTTTAAGTGCAAGGTAGTATGGCATGGACCGCTGAAAAGAAACCTGCACACTACCTATTTTGCACAGAATCAGTCATAAGTTCAGTAATTTGTCAACAAACCCCAAACTGTCGGGAATCAACTGAAACAAAGCAGGGGGACAGCAAACAGCAAGCCATTTGGGAAAAAGCAGTGGCAGAAATTTTGGACCAAATTCCACCACTGGAGTCATGGTAAAATTTCCAGGACTAGGAAAAGCACCATTTAGAAGGAACTGGTGTCATTTATTTCAAGAGATGGAAACAATATCATAAGCTGTCTTTAACTTGTGCTGCCTTCAGCATGAAGAGGGACAAGAGATGTTGGGCGTACCTTGAGGACTAAGCTACACATTTATAGAATTCGAGGCAATAGCAGAAAATCATGCAAAGGTCTGAGCACAGGCTGTGATTTATTTAGTTCACCAAACTCAATGTTTTTAACCTAAACTTAACTCCTCTATGAAGTTAATGGTGTCAAATGCAGAAAATAATTATTGATCTACAAAAACTGCCATTTAAAAAGACCAGCATGAACACATCCATATTTGTACTGTTATCCTTAGTGAGATGCAGCAGTTTACATTCTCCACAACATGCAGTTAATTATAAAATCTTTTTACACATAGCGCCTCTAAAACAAAAAATGGTAATGGAATGCTTTCTGAGTACAATGAAAAACCCTATTGAATATACTCAGATGGTTCATTTAACATTTTCCAAGACATGTATCTTAGCCCTAGATGGTCAGGACACTGAAAGATGTGTGCACTTACCCCAAATATATTGGTAAAAAAGGTGTCTTACCTAAGAATATCTGACCACTGCACCTCGCACTAGAAAGAGCTGTCCTCATCCTGCTCTATTCCTTCAGTAAAATGGAGCATCCTGCTGGTGAACACTCGCTCAGCAGGCTGACAGCCTCACATTTCTCTGTCTCTCTTCCCTCCTGAGCCTTACCACCCCTCTCATACATGATGCCAACCCTTTCCTTTGACACGCTCCTAGCGGCTGGAGTTGGCTCCTGAGAACTGGATGAAAGGAAATGATGTAATAACAAGGATGGCAGCTGCATGTGGCAAGAAGCATAGAAAACAAAAGTCAAGCTGAAACTTTCTTCAGCTACCTTGCCATGAAATGCTACGTTAGTCCACCACTCATATAAACTGACGTATGCCTGAAGAATCAGCTCTACACATCACTCCACCACAAATCTTTGCACACAGCTTTCAAGAATCAGCTAATTAATGTCACATAACGGATGTGGGCACATGTATTGTATATGAATCCACCTCCCAGCAATGACAAATATATCATACACCCCTCTCCCTTTCAAAGCTTCACTGAAAGGATTCTACAGGTAAGAGGGAATTTTTATTCATAACAGTGAATTATTCTTTGTTCTCAATTATGAGAAGATTTTTGCATCTTTCACCTTTGGTTTTACATGTTAAGAAAGCTAACTATTAATTTGCAATCCAGTTTGGAACAAACTGCTCTAAAATAGAACATGGACATGATAAGAGTGTGATGCTCTTCTGAGTAGACTTGGTAATGGACTGAATTGCACAATATTTAGCATTAATGACAAAGACAGGTAACAGCATATAACTGTATGGCAGAACTTTCCATTTCCAGCCTGTAAGTGTTCTGCTCTTCATGAACCTCAACACTTTTCCAGATGGCATACATATAACCGACTACCTGGTGGATGTTGTTTGAAACTGCAGGAAACTTTAAAAATATAGTTAGGTTATATTATAATTATAGATTTGGTTTTAAACCAAAGACTAGTGAAATGCTGATGAGTCCTGCCAGTGACATCACTGAGTTCTTATCGGGCACTTTCTTAGAACAAGTTAATTGCATTTTTATTAAATGCAATGCTTTTAAAATCCCAAAGCTTTGAGAACTTGGAAAGATGGTTAAAAAGTATATAAATATTATAAGCATACTGAAAGAACAGAATGTCTGTCACTTTAAATATTTACTAACTTGATAATTCATGATCTGACAGATGATTGACCAAGACGTCCCTTTTAGGAGAAAAAAATTACACTTGACAACTGCATTTGCCTGTACTGGAAGAATAACTAACCATTCTCACTAGCAAATGGACACTTGTGCTAATTGTTGTGCTGATTTAGCCCGTCATAGTAGTACAAGCTTCACAAAATATTTGTCCAATTTAAACTGAAAATCCAGAATAAAGCCAAGGATATTGTTACTGGCATTTTGAGCATATATATACTATAAAGTTATAATTAGCAAATACTCACAAAACGTGCTTTCACTCTCTTCGGAAGCTCTTCATCTAGTGTATAGATCTCTTCTCTCTTCATTACTATTTGAGAACCATCTTCGAACTCAACCTAATTAAAAAAATGGGTATTTAAAAATAAAACCATACTTTAGCTCTTGCAGGAAATTTCTGGGAATGTCTCCAGACAAAAATGTATGTGCAAACACAGATTTACATACATATATTTTGCTATCTATTTTAGCAAGGTGAAATTAGGATAAAACATAAAAAAATGTTATTTCTTAGGAAATGGAACACATTCATAAGTTGAAAATAATTATCTAAGCAAAGAGACTTCAAAATCAACACTGCCACATATAAAGTAAATTTTTTTAGCTTATGAATGCTGAGCAGTAACAATACAGAAAATATTATTTTGTAGGAGTGACATATTAAAACATCTTTATGCCATTTTTATTTGCCTCTAATTTTTTCACTCACTTCTAATAAATAAAAAATCAATTTTAACATTCCATGCTTCAAGGTTGAGGAAGACCATGTCAAAAGAAAGAAAATATGAGTGACAACTAAGGAAATAGCAGTTAACAGAATTTTATTGAATCTGATGGAATTTCTTTAAAATGCTCTGTTCAGAAGACGAAAAGCTTTATCATGCTTAGGTTTAGATTTAATCCAACATGAACCCTGTTAGCAGAAAATGAGAAAGGAAATGTAACTAGATGTGGGGAATGTTAAAATGCTAAGGCTTTGAAGCATTTAAGTTTTTTCAGTAGCTGCTGAGGTTTTTTTTAATACTTCATCTAACGATTGTGAATTCCAGGTATTATCTATGACTGCAGTTTCAGTTCCCACAGAAACTGTAAAGTTTGGTACAAAATTAAAAGAAGTCCCATTCCACATCCTTAGGTGACTTAATGAGACCATGTGAATAACAACAGACTTAGGCTGGAAGAATAAGCCCAAATACAAACATAGGAAAACACGAACTTATCAAAAGTATTATTAGAGATAAAACTGAAAAATCATGTATTTGAACTTCTAAATGGACTGGGTTTTGTATGTTCAAATTAAGACCTTCCCACAACAGGGTATGTCAAATTAATTGTGAACAGCTGAAAAATCCAATCTAGTATATCCATTCTCAAAAGCCAGGGTGCAGATCTATGAACTATTAACTTTTTTAAAAGCAATTCTTTTTTTATCGCAATTAATAGGGACGCACAAATCTGGAATGTATTTAAAATCTACAGACTACAGATGGATAACAAAGTCACAAAAGTCATCCTTGCTCCTGTCTGTTCCTCCTACTACCTCCATAAGCTTATTCTGCCAGTAGTATGTTAGAGGAACTTTAAGGTCCACTTGGCTTAAGCTTGTTTAACAAAATGATAGCAATTTAGGTATTTTTCACCAGGATGCAGGAGCATCCTTTCTGCTATTCCTGTTCCTTAGTGCACAATACATTTGGTAGTATGTTTTTGCATAATACAGTTAGTAATAATGTTTTTTGTGTCACTGGTGAAAAAAACGAGCAGAAAATGAATTCTGCCAGCTCGACATGATCAGTAAATCACATCCCGAATGGGCAATGTTTTTCTATTTACTGGTAGTGTGCAGCAGGATGCAACTGCTTCATACCACAGAGTGTGGCTTGCAGTATGAAATACATTGAATATTTACAATGAAGAGTAACTAGAAGTTCTTCAGCTATAATTCAGCATACCACACTGGAAATGCATTTGCCTGCTGTTAAAGGCAAACACAACAGGAGCTCCTCTACGACTTTCAATAGTGTCATGATTCATGCAAAATATAAATCCACCATCTCTAATAGCTACAGTTTAATTCAGATTGCAGATACTACATTTCAATCATCAGTTTTATCTAGCAAGTTTTTTTTATTTGGAGTTCTGCTGCTGTACTGTGTCTGTGTGGTATGTTATTCTCTCCATGAGATTTTCTTTTATCAGGACATCATAAGTTAAAGGGTCATCTGAAATTGTTAGAAAGCAATTAATAGAGTGAATGGATAATTTAATAATCTCATATGAAACTCAAAAATAAGTAGTGAATGTCAATATCAAAAATGACCAAGAAATCAAACACAGAATACATTAACAATTTCACTTGAACATCTGCTTCATTTGAAGCATGTAACTCTGCTTAGCTTAGGGATTGTGTAGGATACTGGGTGGCAAATGTCAAACTGGATGACGCAAGCTCTGGTGCATTGTGTCATAGCTCCTGCATGCACAAGTACTGTCACATTCAGTACAAATGACTCATGAACATGAGGAAAATTCAGATTTATCCAAGTGGAACAGATCTGTCTTATTAGATTATAATACTCATTTCATAGAGTCCTTTTCAGTCTCTCTTTTTGTCATACCATCTAAGACAACACATAAAAGACTTGGTAAGAGAATCTCAAAGGTGCAATAGAGATCTCACTACCCAGAAGAAGAATAGAATATGTGTATGCACAGGTCCTGGGAGCTTTCAGACAAGCTGTGCAGAAAGACCAGAGGAAGACCTACTAAAGTGTCTTGAAGTTAGCCTTGCACCCTCCATGTCATAGACTTTCTGTAACCTGTGGTAGTCTCCTCTCCCGTCCTACAGACTGAAATACTTGTTTGTCTCCAAAATCCTATGTAGTGCAATCTGGACTCCCTCTAATCTTTAGTCTTTGCTATTTCCTCTGTGACAGGTGTTGTTACAAGGCAGTTTACAGTAATCTCCCACGACTGTTATACTGACGAACACCAAACCTTACTGAACCTCTGCACACTAATTCATTTTCCTTAAACTAAACTGATTACACCATTTTGTCTAAGAGATCTAAAACAAGACAAAGAAGTTTGTTTTGACTATGTCATACTCCTTCAAACAGGGAAGATAACAACATTCAGCTGATCTACCTCACAGTATTCCTCAGAAGACCAGCTGTTCAGAAGATTAAATGATTTGAAGATTAATGTTACTATAGAACAATAATCTTTATATTTTATAAAGAACTTTTCACCTCTCAACATAATACAGCTGCTAAATATAAGGGAAGAGGTAAGATTTAGAGACTAGCTCAAGGGATCAGGCATTTGAGGACTTGAGTTCAATTGCAAGTCATTGCAAAGTGAGAAGGTCAATGCAGCAAGTCATTTAGCCTCCCTGTGCCTTAATTTATCTATAGATATAATAGTAAATTTGTCATTTTTGTAGAGTAATGTGAGGCCCTCAGATGAAAAGAATTACATAAGTGAAAATGATTATATATATAAATGAAATGTACCTAGATTCTCATTCATTCAGAAATGCTATTATTATTGTGATTGTTTTATTGCAGTTCTACCATTCACTTGGGTACTCAAAGCTGCTGACTGATTTTTCTCAAAGGCAAGCACATAAAAAACCCATTATTGTTTCTCTGAACTCAGAAGTCAGCTTTTTAGCCTTGCCTTCAGTGTTCAGTTCTCTTTTGCCTTTGCTGAGGACAAAATGCTCCTTAGATTATTTGTTAATTGATTCAAAAGTGCCTCAGACAAATGAAAGTAGGGCTATTTATGCTCTTCTTTTTACTGTCCTCCCTTCCGTCCTTTCATGAAATGCCTAAGCTTCACTGTAGTCACACACCAATTCTTAATTTTATATCATTAATTGTATAATTACTTGACATCAAATAAAAGTAAATAACCTGGAGAAAAAAAAAGTTATCTTTCAAACTTCATGTTCCACCTGTTCACCTGGGTTCTTATTAAATAAGCCATTTTCTTGATTTTATAACAGGTGAAACCTCAACTCCCAAAGAGTGCACAGCACTTGTTAATGGTTCAGACAGCTTTGCTTATCAGTTTAAATGCATTAGCAGTTAGAATCAGAGTCCACACTCCAGTCTTCTGCAGCTTTGAAGGTGTGGCGGGCCACTCCAATGTTTGAGACAAATGAGCAATTTGCAATAAAGACATTTAAAAACAAGCACATGGTAATAAATATAGACACTCACCTGATACATGTGAGCTGTGTTTGTTCCCAGATACTTTGCACCATACAGTTTTCCATCAGGCCATTTCACTTGGACAACCTCTCCCTCTGCAGGTGGGCCCAGCCTTAGGCAATCTCTGCTCTATTTACAAGGGATGGATTCTCAAATCAGTGAGTGAGCCGCTACACTGAAATTACCAGTAAGCTCCTTTTTACGACTTGGTAATTGGAGAAGATTTATTACCATGTGTGTTTCAAATTTTATAATCCTGCTAATGGGCTAACAGAAGATACTGTTAGCCTTTATGAAAATGAAATACTGACCAAAGAAAAACTCTCTTTACAGCTTGATGCTGCATTTGCAAGGCAACATATGCATAAGTCAGATAGCTATCAGCAACTGTGATACTTTTCCCCCATAATTAATTTCCATCACACACTGAAAATAAAGATAACTAAAGTGCAATTGCATATGTGCAACACTTTCTCTTTTACATATTCAAGTAACTCATGCTTTGTTAACCACAGCACATTTTTGCTAGATGCTAACTTTGCTGACTGAAGCATAACCTGATGGATCAAATTATAAATGGTGAGAATGTCATTGAGTTCTTTGCTTAGCTGATGGAGAAACACTGAAAGAATCCAAATGCTTACAAAGAAGAATTAGGCGGGATTTTTTTTTTTCAGAAGAGATGAAGCAGTTTATCTCCTGTGTTTTGGCCAAATTTTGTGCCTGCCTTGTTAAGCACATAAGAGCAGCACAGTTTACTCTAGTTGCAGCATATCCTTGCTGTGGTTTCTTTTGCGCCATATGGCTAAGCATGACCTAAATGACTCATTTGCAGAGCAGACTAACTAGGCATCCTTGATAACAGCTGTCCACATGAGGAAATACACGAAGGACCAGAAAAGGATCGTGTTAGGTCTGAGCTCACCAATTCTTTGGAAGTGATCTATGCCAAATAATCCAACAAAGGCATCTATACTTTGTACCAACTACATCACAAGACTTCTCATGTAAATTAGCGCTAATTTAGTGGCATTATCCTACTTGTGAGAGGACCTACCCGGCGATCATGTTCCCTCAGCTCATGGCTAAGAAGTCTAGATTAGGAAGAGAAAAGATAAAGCCAAGGACTCAGGTAGACCGACTCAGTGACAAGGTCCTGCAGGACCTGGTATTATCTCACGTTGCTGAAACACTATTACAGTTCTCAAGGTCTCAGATTTAGTTTTTGAGTTCAACAATTCACTTCCAACAAAGGCCAACAATCATCATGACAAACACAAAATGTGGGAGCAAAAATGCATCATAGTGATCCTTACTGGGACAACAAGGTGAGTGGTGTGGTCAACAGGCTGGAGGGACAGGATGCCATTCAGAGGGACCTGGACAAGCTGGAGAAGTGGGCCCGTGTGAACCTCCTGAGGGTCCTGCACATGGGTCGGGGCAAGCCCCAGTATCAATACAGGCTGGGGGATGAAGGGATTGAGAGCAGCCCTGAGGAGAAGAACTTAGGGGTGCTGGTTGATGAGAAGCTCAACATGACCCAGCAATGTGCGCTGGCAGCCCAGAAGGCCAACCATGTCCTGGGCTGCATCACAAGCAGCATGGCCAGCAGGTTGAGGGAGGGGATTCTGCCCCTCTGCTCCGCTCTGGTGAGAACCCACCCGGAGTCCTGCGTCCAGCTCTGGAGCCCTCAGCACAGAAAAGACACAGACCTGTTGGAGTGGGTCCAGAGGAGGGCCATGAAAATGATCAGAGGGATGGAGCACCTCTCCTATGAAGAAAGGCTGCGAGAGTTGGGGCTGTTGAGCCCGGAGAAGAGAAGGCTGTGGGGAAACCTTACTGCAGCCTTCCAGTACTTAAAGGGACCTATACAAAAGATAGGGATAATTCTTGTAGCAGGGCCCGTTGTGATAGGACAAAGGGTTTTAAACTTAAAAGAGGGTAGATTAGTTTAAATATAAGGAAGAATTTTTTTTACGATGAGGGTGGTGAGACACTGGAATGGGTTGCCCAGAGAGGTGGTCAATGCCCCATCCCTGGAAACATTCAAGGCCAGGTTGGACGGGGCTCTGAGCAACCTGATCTAACTGAAGATGTCCCTGCTCATTGCAGGGGGGTTGGACTAGATGACTTTTAAAGGTCCTTTCCAACCCAAACTCTTCTATGATTCTGTGACATTATCTTGTTATAATATCATGCTAGCCAAATCCAGGCTTTATAAACTGTTTTTAATCACATGTATCTCAATCCATGAATTTGATTCAACACATGACAATAGAAGTGAAAAGCTGGATTTTCACAGAAACACTTTCCTGCATGACAACACTGTCTCTGTCATCCCTCAGGTGCTGTGCCAAGGGGACAGCTCTAACATACACCCTGCGTGTCTGCCTGGCAAAGGTTGCTGTGACAGACACAGAAAGGTATATCCTTTCAACTTCACCATTTATCTGGGGTAGCAGGTGGCATTACTGTATTACCTTTCCCCATATTTCCAGGAGAGGCAGAGGGAAAGGGGAAAGGATGGCTGCTGCCTTCTTTCCAACAGTGGAATAATTAGGATTTCCCAAGGGACAGAGATTGCTAAACACTGTCATAGCTCTGACTATAAATTAAATGAGACCGTATTTTTAACGCTCTCTCCTCAGCGACGACCGTCAAGACGGTTATTGTCATTATCATACTTCTCCTATCTATTTATTGCTAAAGTGCACAAAGGAGTCTTGGCTAAGTGTCTTGAACCAAATTTTTAAAATGCATCATGGAAGATAGCAAATTTCCTGAAAACAAACAATCTATCAACAATGTCAAGCCAAACATTAATTTTCCAAGAACAAAAGCCCAGCATGATTTGCTCCCTTTGCACCTTGCACAAGAAAAAAATCTCACAGCTTCTCTACGATTGCTAATGGAATTGCTCATATGGAAAATTAGTGTTCTCATGCAAATAACTAGACAAATAACAATCCCATTCTTCATGTATCACCAAAATGTCTTAGTCTACAGAACTGTGTTTGGGAAACCTATACTAAACAGTTTTTGCTGATTTCTACCAGAGTTCCTACCTTTTATTTTCATGCTACATAACTATTATAGAGATTCTCTTTTTACTGCAAAAATAATTCTCACCATCTTCTTCTGGGGAATGATTAGTCCTATTTATTAGCCTGGCAAAATTGCAAAAACACCACTTCACTTTTCTCAGTCATACAATGAAAAGTCAGACATCAAGATATGGCAATACTTCAACATTCCCATACACTAGCTGTGAACAACATACAGTGTGGTCTCAATCTACATTCAGCCAAATGTAAACCATGTACGTTTCCCATACAATTAGGTAGTATATTTTCTTCTTCACACTAATGGTCAAAAGCATGCCTATCTGTACTGAAAGCCCATTCATTTAAGTGTCCAGTTGCACACTGCGGCTATGCAAGCCTATTCACTTAAGTGTCCAGTTTCACATTCCAGCTATTTCACAGCTCAGAGCCCCAGCTTCAGCTATGGTCAGATACAACAAGGTTGCTCAAGGACATGTCCAGTTGGGTTTGAGTATCTCCAAGGATGAACACTTCACCACCTGCCTGGGCAACTAGTCCAGCATTCAACAATCCTCACAATGAAAAAGTCTTTACTTAAGAAAAATTCCATGTTACAAAATTCCTTGTATTTCAGTTGGTACCCGTTGTCTGTCATCCTGTGCACCGCTGAGAAGTGTGTGTCTCCATCTTCTTTACTTCCCCCATCAGGTATTTATACACTTCGATAAGATCCCCCTGAGTCTACTATCCTCTAGGCTGAACAGTCCCAGCTCTGTCAGTCTCCCCTCATACGACAGAAGCTCCAGCCCCTTCATCACCTTCATATCCTTTCACTATATTTGCTTCTGTATGTCCACGTCCTTCTTGTACAGGTAAGCCCATAACTCCACATATGATCTCATCAGTGCTAGGTTTACAGCCTTTCGAAACATTTTATAAGCAAAACCCTGTAAATTATAAAAATTCTAAAACATTTCTTATTTATTACAAGTGGTGTTTTCTGGTTTTATAAACATTCATTTTGAGGTTCATTACATGCATCGCACTCAAATAGTAAGCAATCCGCTCACAATAGATGTTGGAAAAATATTTTGAAATACTGGGTCCATCTCCTGTGCTGTCACTGAGGAATTCTTGCGTACAGCACTACAGATAAAGTAGACGCCTTTGCTATTTTTCTTTTATGATATTCCTCTGTTTTTACCACAGAGGTTGAACAATACTTCACAGAATCACAGAATGTTAGGGGTTGGAAGGGACCTCTGTGGGTCATCTAG